GAGGAGATGAGGAGGGAGGGCATTCTAGGCATGGGAGGAAAGATGATAATGCCTAGAGATGACAGATGGAGGTTTGTGCTAGGGAGAACTCCACCTAAGGTCTAATAACGGCTATTTATGGTACGATGGCCACCTCCCTGTTTCCCAGAAGTTATGCCCCTCTTAAAGTAGCCCAGGATCGTGCTAGCTTCTGTGGCTGGCACGTCCCACTGCTGGGGCAGTAGATTGAGAAGGGGAAGGGATTCCATAATGTCCTCCAGCCCATCCCCAGCATACAGCTGGGGAAGCTGGAAGACACTGGACTTACATGCATGTATACCTAACGTGTACTGATCAGCAATGTGGAATCACAAATTTAGAGCTGGAACAAACCCTAGAGGTCAACAATCCCCTCATCTCAATAAGGCAACAAAGGTCCAGTGACTTGACCAGAATCACATGGCTAGTATATGAAGTGGAATTCGAACCCAGATCTTCACGACTCCAAGTCTAGCATCCTATCCACTCCTGCCATGCTGCCTCTCAAATCAAGTGCTAACAGGCAAGGCAAATCCATGGAGATGCCAGGCTATTATGCACTTTCCAAGAATTTAAGTCAGTCTTGGAAAAGAGCAGTGAGTAGCCCTGGACCACAGAAGAAAAGGAAGGCCAAGGGTGGTCCAGGCCTGCCAGGAGGACACTGTTCCAGGGAGGAAAGGGAAAACAAGCACATTGGGAAAGAACTCCAAAGCCAATAGTGTCATCTCCTCCAGTCGCAGACACCAGTGGAAGAGCTCAAGTTAAAATGGAGCATACATTTAGGGCAGGGAGGCTGAGAAGCAAGAACACAGCCAGGAGCCAGGGACAGACCCTGGCTGTCAGAAACAACATTCCCAGAGAGGAAGAAGGAGACTCATGGAATCTCAGAATCTCTGAAGGGGAAGGGGCCTCTGAGACCATCTGGTCCAACCTGTCCACACCTGATGGAGAAGATGTTGTTTCAGCAATAAGCAGGCATCCAGCCTTCAAGGGAATGCTTCCAGGGACAGGGAACTCACTACCAAGGAGGAAGCCCATCCCACTTTGGGAGAGCTCTATTATTGGGAAGGTTTTCTGGGAATTAAGGCTTTCTGTAACCTTCCTGCTCCAGGTTCTGCCCTTGCAGCCAGCCAGAACAAGTCTATTACTAACAAATTCCCCTTCAGACAGTCCTCCAAATACCTGAGAACTCTCAGGTTCCCCCTGAGAGTTTTCTCTTCTCTGGGATAAACACTCCCAATTCCTTCAATCTATCTTCAAGGGACATGATCTCAAGGCAGGACATTACCTAGGTTGCCCTCTCCACTTCAGCAATGTCCTTCTAATATTGTAAATGAGGGGTCCATGAACTTTTTTTTTTTAATTTTAAGAACTGTTTCAATATACTCGGTTTCCTCTATAATTTAATTATTTTGTTTTACGCTAGAGTCACTCAATCAGTCACTTAATCCCAATTGCCTAAAAAACAAAACAAAACAAAACAAAACACAAGTTTACAGACGCCACTCATGTTAAGAACACTGCCCCCAACTGACTTCAAAGGAGCAGAGGCACTAGCTGGAGATGTCTACCTACCTATCCCCTAAGCTCCTTATCCTCTCAGTTTTCTTATCTGTAAAATGAGGATAAGAACACTTCCACAATTTAAATGCTTTGTAAACCTTAAAACATATCACTATAAGCCGTTTCCACATATGAGCTCTTTGGTCTTTGAAAAATAACCAAAAAAATCCTCGTTTTCATACCCCAATGTTCCTGTACTTTCTATTCCCAGATTCATTCCTTGTGTTTAAAAGGTTCACACAAGCATAGGGTCATAGCTTCAAGGTCAAGGAGTCCAAACCTCATTTTACAGATGAGAAAACTGAAATACAGAGAGAGGTTAAGTGATTTACTCAGGATCACACAGCCAGTAGATGCCATGAGGTGGTATGTAATCCCAGATATTTCTCCGAGCCCCTATAAAGGCTGGCCATGTCATTCCAGTGTTCAAAATCCTCCAATGGCTTTGTCTTCTAGGGTAAAGTATAAAGTCCTGGTATCTGAGGCTATCTACAAAGTGTTTCCACTTGATATTGTATCTCCAGCCTCCATGCCTTCACAGAAGATGTGTTTTATTAAGACATAGTATATAATTATATAACATATATGTATACATATTATATATCTTATATATAAATTATATTGTATTTTATGTAATTATACATTATATATGATATAATATCTAAAATAAACATTTATATAGAACCTACTATGTGCCAGGCATAGTGTGAAGCACTTAACAGATATCATCTCATTAGATCCTCACAACAACCCCATGAGGTAGATGCTATTATTATTCCCATTTTACAGTTGAGGAAACTAAGGCAAACATAGAGGTTAAGTGACTTGCCCAGGGTCACACAGGTAGTGTTTGAAGCCAAATCTGAACTCAGGTCTTCCTTACTCCAGGACCAGTGCTCTGAGCTCCCTGGACTCCTTTAAGTCCCCACTAAAATTCTACCTTCTAGGGGCAGCTGGGTGGTGCAGTGAATAGAATTCTGGCTTTGGAGTCAGGAGGACCTGAGTTCAAATCCAGCCACAGACACTTACTAGCAGTGTGACCCTGGGCAAGCCACTTAATCCCTATTGCTTCAGTAAAATAAATAAATAAACAAATAGAATTCTACCTTCTATAGGAAGCCTCTCCCTCTGTGAATTATTTCCTATTTATTTATATTGCATATAACTTGCTTTGTATATATTTGTTTGCATGTTGTCTCTCCCATTAGATTGTAAACTCCTTGAAAGCAGGGGTTGTCTTTTGCCAGTTTTCATATCCCCAGTGCTTAGCTCAGTGCCTGGCACATAGTAGGTGCTTAACAAATGTTTATTGATTGACTGACAGATAAGGAGAGGGATGAGACTTGCCCTAGTGTAGGGAACTTGCAGAGGAGGAAACTCTACCGATTCAGGTCAAAACTTTGACAACTCAAGAGTCGTAGAGCATGGGTTCTTAACATGGGGTCCACAGACATATGTGTTTTTTGTTTTTATTTTTTAATGGGGAGGGGGAAGAAGAAAAGAAAATCAATTTTAAGTTAAAATATATTTTTAATTTAATTATTAAAATTTAAATAAAATGTATATATGTTTATGTGTATAGAAATATATTTATATATTATACATTTATACATACATATACATATATACATATATGTGTGTGTATATATACATATACATATATGTATATATATATACATATATTATGTATATATATATATATATATATATATATATGTATATTATATTATATATTATATATATATATTTTTTTTAAGAAATCCTCCCTCCAAGAGTTGCCTGGGTCACTTAGCTAGGAGTGTTAAACATCAAGGAGACCCAAAATAACCCCAGTGTGGGAAAGAGGTAGAGGAAGAGGAGGGGGAAAGGGCGGGGAAAGAAGGGGGAGGGGAGGTGGAAGATTAGCCTAAGGAGCCAGACCAGCCCAAAGCAGCTGTGAACGCGCAGCTGTTTCCGAGCTGGCTGGGGCCAGGACTACGCCTCCCAGCAGACACTGCGCGGGCCATCCAGCAAACAGGCTCCTGAAGTGGAGCTGGGCAAGGGGAGGACAGGCAGGAACTACACTTCCCAGCAGGCATCACGGCCAGCCAGGCCCGCCGTCTCCAGAAGAAAAGAGGCCGTTTTAGGGCAGGAGCGGGGGACGGGGATAAAGGAGAGAAGGAGTGTGGGAGGGGGGGTAGTCTGGGCACGCGGACTTCACGCGGACTTGCCGGAGAGAATTCTAAGGCTGCTGCTCTTTCCACATTCTCCGTTGTGGACCTTGACCCCTGAACCGCTGGCCAAACTCCACAGGCCACCCCCTGGGAGGGCCGTCCACCTGGGCTTAAGATTCCAGGTGTGGGCAGCCCGGCTTCACAGCACCCCCACCCCGGGATGCGTCCTCCGGAGGACGGGTGACGTCACCCCAGGACCGCTCCTTGTGCTCCTAAGGGCACACGCCCTGGCGTGGAGCAGCGCGCACGTGTTAAGCCAGCTCTGTGCAGGCTCCTGTGCCTGGTTAGCGGTCAGAGAAGCTGGGGTCCCATGCCACCAAAGATGCTTCGACGTGTGTGTGACCCCTGGGGAGCCTGCTGGAGGGGACGTCCGAGGTCACCCACTCCATCCCGTTCCTTTACAGATTAGGCTACAGGGACTTCGTGGTCACTGTTTGTTTTGTTTGCCTTCCTTAGCGCTTCACACGGGGCCTGGCGCACAGTAGGCGCTTAATAAGTGCTTCTTGCTTTTGCTCCAACTTCACAGCCTTACTGGCCTTGCACCTCAATTCCTACATCTGTGAAATGAGCGGCTCGGACGTGGTTTCTGACTTCCTTTGTATCCCCGGTGCTTCACGCACTGCCCGACACACAGCAGGCGCTTAATGCATGTGCGGCTGCTGGACCAGACACTCCCCTTTCAGATCTATGAATCCTCTGTCCCTATGGGTATCGTGACTATCCCGTGAGCCCTGCTCTGTAGAGCAAAGGAGCTGCCCGGGATGACCGCCCACGGTCATGAAAGGCCGCGCCTGGCCAGGTTTTCTGGGGTTTGGGTCTTTTTCCTCCACCACGACCCTCCCCCATTTTAGCATCTGTAAGATGAGAGGACCCCTGTGGGGGGCTGCTCCCACAGCTAACAAGCTGTGGCTACCGTGTCCCCCGGGTCAGGGCTGTGCTCCTGAGTCCACTGCGCAAACGTGGCCACGGCGGGTGCGCGAGGCTGGAGCCCCCTCCCTGCCCTCCAGGAGCCCAGCTTGGGAATGCTCGGGAAGGGAGACCCCTGCCTCTTACGGAGACTGGGCAGCCTGGCTGCATTCCCCCACCCCGACCTTCGGTCCTCTCAGCGGCTGGGAAGTGCAGGGAGGAAGGGGGGGGACTAGAGGGGCAGGAGGAGAAGGGTCACCCCGCGCTGCGAGTCCCAGGGGAGCAGGGAGGGAGGCTCACCCAAAGCGAGGACGGGCAGGGGAAGGTCCGGGGCTCCAAACGCACGCACTCACGCACGCTCCCTCCTGGCCTACGGGGGAGAGCGGGACTACAACTCCCAGGCATCCCAGGGGCAAGCTGCCCGGAGAGTAGCAGGTCTCTAGGCCAATAGGAACATAGGATCTCTTTGTGTGGCCCAATCAGGAGGCAGGAGTAGGAGAGACTATTCAGAAAGAAAAAAAGTCTTTCACAGGATGGAGAAATGTAAAGGTCTTAATCCCAGGCTGGGGAGACTGAAGGTCCTCCTAGCAGGGGGTCTGCAGTAGGTTTGGTGGGCCTCCCTGTCCCAGGTGTGATTTGTGTGACCAAGGGGCCCCCGCTGAGAATGACAGCAATAATAATGATAAATAATTACAAATTATAAGATAATCAAAGGAGGCAATATTTGAAAAGCACTATACAAATGCAGCTAGGTGATAATAGTGGAGGGTGTTGGATCTGGAGTCTGGAAGAGCTGAGCTCACATTCAGCTTAGGACAGCCCAGCAGCTAGTAGCTGGACAAGTTCTGACTGCCTCAGTTTCGACATCTGTAACATGGGAGTCACAATAGTACCTCTCTCACAGGGCTATTATGAGGATCGAATGAGATAATAATTGTTCTTAGCACAGTGCCTGGCACATAGTAAGCGCTATATAAATGTTAGCTATTTATCAGTATGATTATATTTGTAAAATGCTTCGCAAACCTTCAAGGGCCACATAAACACTAACCAATATGCAACACCTCCTCTCTACACACTAAGCAAGACTCCCTTTGCTTGTTAAAAGTCCTTGTTCTGCCCCAGGACTCCCCGGTCCCCTGTGCTACAGAGCACAAAGGACCTGCAGTCAGGAAAAGCTGGCTTCCAATTCTGCCTCCGACCCTTTCTAGCCATGGAACCCTGATCCAATCACTTCATTTCTCTGAGCATCGGTTTCCTTATTGTCCAGTGGGTATGATAATACCTGTACAAGTCAGGTCAACATGTGTTTTATTATTTTACTATGTGCTGGGCACTGAACAGAGCACCACGAATGCAAATTCGAACAAGAAGAAAAAACAAATAGATTGTGGAAGACAAAAAACAAAAGGAAGATAAAAAAAAGAGTAGGGGGAAAAGATACCCATGTTGGGGCACGGAGGCAAAAGAGGAGGAAGGATGGCTGGCCTGTATTTCCTCCACATTCAGGTTGGGGAGAAACTCACCAAAGGGAGGTGGGGGTCACAGGGCAGACTGTGAGAGGTACACGGTGATCAACTGTGGCCAGGCATAAGTGGAGCCAGGAAGGGAGAAAAACCCACCTCACAGAACACAAAGTCCACACCACATGCCATCCAAATGGCATTTCCTATTGTTGTAGATGGAAAGGTAGAAGGGAATAGGGACCTAACATGATGGGCAGTGGATTCTGAAGCGTCCTTAGACAGCTCTGTGAGAGGGGATAGGCTGGAGGAAGGAGAACCAGTTAGATGTTTCTGCAGTAGCTTAGGAAAGAAGACACGAAAGCCAAATGTGGAAGAGGGTGGGGTGAATCTAAAGCAGGGAGGGTCACAAGAGGGTTTGGGGAGGTAAGAGGGACAGGCCTGGGCCACTGCTGAAGTGTGTGTGGTGAAGGAAAAGGAGAAGAGACAACTGACAAATCTATCCAACGTGGCACCATCAGAGGGAAGAGGGGAATTAGGAGGGGATGTGTGGGGAGGAGGGGTGGAGCAGAGAATATGATGATGTAGCAGTCACTTGGGGGAATCACATAGCTGACCACATTAGATCAAAGGTCCAAATTATTAATGATTTTGAAGAAAGGATAAAGAGACCCTATGTGCAATTATGGCCACATAAGATAGTTATTTAAACAAGCTATCAATTCTTGCCATCACTTCATTCCCACTTCCCCAAACCCTTACTTCCCTCATGGAAAACAGACCAAAAGAGAAATATTGACTCTGTCAGAGCTGTAACTAGGGTTGGGGCAACTGGAACTCTGTCTTTGGGCACTACAATTTACAGGCTAAGGCAAAAAACAAAACAAAACAGAAACAGTCCTTGCCTTCAGGAAAAAAAAATATATATTCTAATGTTTAAGAAAAGACTTAAATAACTAGGTACTTGTCTGGGATTGGTGAAGTCACAAGTAATCCCTGCTATAGGAAGTCTGAGATTGGTGGAGTTTGAAGTGAGAGGAGGGCTAAGATGGGTCTACACCAAGGCTGCCACCAATATGGTGAGCCCTTGGAGGAGCAGGGGGCCAGCAGGCTACCTAAGGAGTGAATTATCTCAGGTCAAAGCTGCGCTGATCAGCAGCTGGGATCAGGCCCATGAGTGAACTCTGCACTTCCAGCCTGCGCAAGAGAGGGAGATCCAGATAATAATTATTAATGATAATATTTATTCATAATAATAACAAAGGACATAGTTATGCCATATATTCAGTAGACGGAAGATAACTGTAAATGTTCCTGTTCACTGGTTTCCATACAGCTGATCAATATTTTTCCAAAACTATGGCTTTCAAAACTGGAGTTGATTTTTTGAACCCAAGCCTTTGTTGTTCTTCAGTCTTTTTCAGTCGTATCTGACTCTTCATTACTCCTTTTGGGTTGTTTTCTTGGCAAAGATACTGGAGTGATTTGCCATTTCCTTCTTCAGCAAAAGGTGAAATGGTGGATTCAACCCCCCAAAGATCAAAGAGGCATTTCAGCTCTGAAACCATAAAGGTAACACAGTGATGGATAAGGGTGACATCTAAAGTTTAACCATGCCTGTATATTATGGAGGTAGAGTAAAGATGTAGGTCATGAGAGCTGAGGATGTGAATCAGCTGGGGAAAAGGGTGTTTGAGGGGAAATCAATATATTGAAATCCCCAGGTATGAGTGCAGAGTGTAGGATGGAGACAAAGACTATGAGTCAGGTTTGCAGCTCTTCAAGAAAGTATAGCAATGGTGGCATTAGGTGTCAGTTTGGAAGCTACAGTTGGTCAGAAAATACTATTCTGTACTGACTTCTCCTACTCCTGTTTTCTCCTGGAGATTTGGCCAGCCACATCTTTATGTAAAAATTAGCTCTCTGCTTTCAACTTTGACTAATCATGAGATTTGCCAAGTAATAAGATTATCACAGGATCATAAAATTAAAATATATTTTATTTTTCTTAATTATGTATAAATTTTTTTCTAATCATTGTTTTTTTTAATTTTGAGTTCCAAATTCTTTCCATCTCTCTTTCCCCTCCCCTCTTAAGAATGCAAGCAATTTGATACAGACAATACATGTGAAGTCATGCAAAATATATTTCCATATTAGTCATGTAGCAAAAGAAAATAGAAAGAGACAGACAGAGAGAGAGAGAGAGAGAGAGAGAGAGAGAGAGAGAGAGAGAGAGAGAGAGAGAGAGAGAGACCAAGAAAAATAAAGGCAAAAAAGTATAGGTCAACCTGCATTCAGACTATATCAGTTTTTTTTCTGGAAGTGAATGACATTTTTCATCATAAATCCTTTGGGATTATCTTAGGTCATTGTGTTACTCAGAATAGCTAAGTCATTCACAATTGATCACTGTACAATTTTGCTGTTTTGCTGTATACAATGTTCTCCTGGCTCTGTATCACTTCACTTCTGTATCAGTTCACATAAGTCTTCCAGGTTTTACTGAGACTATCCTGCTTGTCATTTCTTATAGTAAATAGTATTTCATCACAATCATATACCACAACCTGTTCAGTTATTCCCCAATTGACAGATATCCTCTCAGTTTCTAATTCTTTGCCACCACAAAAAAAGAAAGGGCTGCTATAATTATTTTTGTACAGAGAGGCCCTTTTCCTTTTCCTTTGCTGTCATTGAGATACAGACCTAGTAGAAGCACTGCTGAGTCAAATGATATTCACTAGTTTTTAGCCTTTGGGACATCATTCCAACTCGTTTTCCAGAATGATTGGACAAGCTCACAATTCCACCAACACTGCATTAGTGTTCCAATTTTCCCATATCCCATCCAGCATTTGCCATTGACCTTTTCTGTCATATTAGCCAATCTGATAGGTGTGATGTGGTGACTTAGGTGTTTTAATTTGCATTTCTTTAAGCAATAGTGATTTAGAGCATTTTTTCATATGATCATAGTTAGCCTTATCTGATTTCTTTGTCTGAAAATTGCCTGTTCATATCCTTTGACCATTTATCAATTGGGGAATGACTTGTTTTTTCATAAATTTGACGAATTCTCTTTGTATCTGAGAAAAGAGGCTTTTATCAAATAAACTTGCTATGAATTTTTCCCCTAGTTTCCTGCTTTCCTTCTAATTTTGGCAACATTGGTTTTGTTTGTACAAAACTTTTTTTTTAATTAATGTGATCAAAAACATCTAATTTCTATTCTGTGATGCTCTCTATCTCTTGTTTGGTCAAAAATTCTTCCCTTAAGCATAGAGGTGACAGGTAAAATTTTCCATGCTCCCCTAATTTGTTTATGATAGTACTCTTTTTGTTTAAAGCATGTACCCATTGACCTTATGCTGATATACATTGTGAGATGTTGATCTTTATCTAGTTTATGCCAAACTGCTTTCCAGTTTTCCCAGCAATTATTCTCAAATAGTATATACTTGTCCCCAAAGCTTGGATCTTTGGGTTTATCAAACACTAGGCTATCATGGTCGTTTACTATTGTGTTTTGTGTACCTATTCTATGCCATTGATCCACCGCTCTATTTCCTAGCCAGTATAAGACTGTTTTGATAATTACCACTTTGAAATCAAGTCTGAGATCTGGAACAACTAGGCCACATTTCTTCATATTTTTTTTTACTGATTTTCTTGCTATTCTCAACCTTTTGTTCTTCCAGATGAATTTTGTTAATTTTCCTAGCTCTAAAAAATAATTTTTGGTAGTTTGATTGGCATGGCACTGAATAAGTAAATTGATTTAGGAAGAATTATCATTTTTTATATAAACTCAGCCTACCCATAACCAAATAATGTTTTTCCAGTTGTTTAGTGATGACTTTATTTGTGTGAAGTATTTTGTAATTGTATTCAAATAATTATTGAGTTTGTCTTAGC